TTCAAATCATTTGGTGACTTAGAGCCGCCTCTGGAGTGCAAAGGGTTAACACGTTCGCTACTAGCGCTTATTTCGGTGACGGTCTCAATTATATTTTCTTTGATCCAATAAATCTTCGAAAGAAAATATTAGAAAAACGAGTCATTGAATTCTTAAATATAATGTCATAGTTTATCATTTCTAATAACAATATCTGTGGGACTAATTTCATTTTAATTATGTAAAATATAGGATTACGGTCGTCACAAATATGTGAGGTAGCAACCTACATATATATACATTATGTATAGTAAATAGACGTACGATGTTACGCGTTTATAGATATAAATTTTTAAGGTGCAAGAAAATAGAGATTATCATCAGGTTTAACACTATTTTTACTGCTCTTTTGTGTATAGAATATTTAGTTTTCTTTAGAGGTAATTGAACGAAATCTAATATCTTAGATTAAAGAATTTTGTTACAATAGTTGCACTTTTTAGAATGTTAAGAAGTTACTAGGAAAATAAAAAAGGTTCTGTGCTCTTTCTATATCCAGATTGGCTGTAAAATTTACTTCAAATGATTGAATGACATTTTTGTTAAACCTTATTTGAAATATTCGACATGATTCTCATACGATATTATGAGGCGAGGGATTGAATTACTTAATATAATTTCATTTAATAATTAATTTCATATGAAATAAATACGATGGCAGAATTAATGTTATAAGCATAACAGGTAAATTGGACAAGTCAAAGACAATTAAATTTACAAAATAATTTCAGTTAAAATATTAAAAGGTATCCTTCGACAACTTCAATAAAAATAATGTTAATAATACATGAATATTGTATAAATCAATACTTGAAACCGCGAGTTGCGTGAACTCTGTATTTTAATAATAAATCGTAAATTTATAATATTGGCAAACAGGACTGTGAAACGCCTTTCGTGTATTGGATGTTACATGATTTTGTTTGATTAAGAGAAATTTCATATTTTGTATCAATTTCATATAAATCAGTTTAATGAAATTATTAAACTTAATGGTGAAATATTTTGATTAATTGAGATTACGTGAGTATTAAATATTAAAATAAAAATAATTTTATGAATGTAGATCGAGGGAAAATTTCATTGATTGCAATTATCTCCATGGCAGATCTTTTATGAGAGTCTTACCGCTTTTTAAACTCATCTGCATCATTTATTATCTTTGCCTACGTTTCACTTGTTTTACATTATTTTCCAATTCTTGACGTCACGTCCAGCAATGTGGAATATCTTCGTTACTCTCAACAGCCATCTATAATCATAGCTAAACATAACTTTAATTTTTCTTCTTTAAAAGCTTTTCCTTTTCCTTCTTCTTCTTCTTTTCCTTCAATGCTTTTGCTTTTCTTTCGCTTGCAGCGAAGTCAGTAATTTACAAGCAGATTCTGATGGAGTGTGCAAATTTACACAGAAAAATTGCTCAAAGTTTGCATCCTCTTCACTATTCCAAATCTATTCAAATCCTTTCCAGATCTTAATTTTGAAATATTATACTGCAAACAAATGCAATAAAATCAAAATCTATTTTTTTACACTAGAGAGGCAACTTAAATATTCTTTACGTTCCTACTACAAATAAATTATCCGCAAAAATGCACTCGTTGGACTTTCGTTATCTTCCCCGAAAATTTCTTTTTTATCTGAAAATTTTCTTTAAAATGAAATCCATTCAAGAAAGGAAGTAACACAATCTTAAAGAAAACCGATACAACTACTACTTTATCAAACAAAAAAAAACAGTTTTCACCATTTCTCAAATAAGAATGAAAAAAGAACGCCCAATTAAAGAAAAAACCATGAGTAAATAATACCTTTATTTATCTATAAATTTCTATACCCATATCCCGACAAACCTTCCTATAAACACTGGTTTATCACTGTATCAATGGAAAACAATTTATTAATTAAAATGAAATGTATTCTGTAAACAACTTAATTCTATAACGAAAACGTATCTATGTAGTTCGGCACGTAAAAATGATTTTATACTTAACACTAGAACTACCGTACCAGTCGAAACGACTGGTTTCGATTGTTTTGTTTCACAATTATCGATATCTTAAAAGCATTGAATATTCGAAATGATCTTGAAAATAAATAGCTTCGACTTGAACACTATAATGAATGTCCGAAGAAACCGAAAATAATCTATTGTTAGAATTTTTATAGGGATTACACGTCAGTCTTCAAAATTATTATTTAGTATATAAATCGCGCAGTACATAAAGACAATTTTGGTCAACGATTTTTATATGAACAGCCCACTGTACAGCGGCGTATTATCTTTCGCGAGATCGTTCCCCGGCATAATAAACGCTGGCGGCCGGAGTTTATCCCTCTAATCAAGTTTCAAGAAATATTTGAATTTTACGGGCGGAACTAAAGTCGAACAACCATCGGCCGGGTGAGATTTCATCGGGGCTTGAGAAACCTCGTGGTATTGGAGTGCCTTCGCGCGTGCAAACCTCGCATTTTTCTTCGGGGAGAAAAGGTGCAGTCAGCAGGTGGACGCGCGTGAAAAAAGGCCGCGCTACCTGACCGATCGACGAAAGCTGGAAGACCACGTTGTCTCGATACTTGTTATGTATTCACCTCGGTCCAACACCTGTCGCGGACAACAATAAGCTTATCAACAGGCATCTGCGTTTATTCGCAGCGCTGTCTTTTCTGACCGATTAAGTCCCAGTGATCTATTAATGGATCACTCACTCTAAATTGTTATAGACAATTTATTTGTTAATAAATAATGTATCTAATAATTAGGATATGTATGAGTTAGTATTTAGAATGAATAAATTGAATCAGACGTTATTTCCAGATAACATTTATACTTCATTTGAAGTTTTGAAAATTTACAAAATGCTCTATGATTGCAGTGCCGCGAGAAGTTATTTATAAAATTTGAAATAACAAAGTTGAAATTTTTGCAACTTGGTATTACGAAATAAATGTTTCCAGAATAATGAAAACTCTATTTATATGCACTAACATTGAATATAAACAATGTTATGAACAATTACATTAGGTGATCTATGAATATGCGACTGTTATATATAGTATATTGAATATGTCAGATTTTTTCATTATTTTTCCAAGATAGTATGGACACTCATTACTCGAAATACAAAATTTCATCTATAAATTCAAAAAAAAAATTTCATGGGACTTATTGGGGTAACACTAGAACTTTTTCGTATAACCTCTTAAACCTCGAAAGTTTCTCATTAGATACATTTTTTGGTATAACAATTATTTGATATATTGGTTTCTATCGATTTATATAAATCCGATACAGCTCAGAAATGATATACCGAATGACAGTTATGACTTTATTCTGGTTCTTCATGATTGTTTTAAGAACCCAAACCCTGTTTTCAACCCTTCAATTTCGAAAAGACTTAAAGATTTAAAATACAAACTGTACAATATGAAAAAAAATACTTTAACTTTCTTGTTGCAGAAATATACCGAGGAAAAGGAAACCTTGTTAAAGGATCATTTTACTGAATACATAGAATGACTGAAGAAAACATGGTGAGAAAGGAAATTGTAATAACAAGTTGGTAGACTACAGGCCTTTATGCAAATTCACGTTTTCAAGGACTGATTGATAAAAACAAGAATTAGATAAAAGTTAACAGCCTCGATAAGTGTTTCTATAATGTGAAAAATAATCTTAAACCTGTTCTTCAGTTTGTTGCGACCATATTTACCTGGACTCTATTCAGTGAAAGATCAACAGCACCTACTGGTACTTATCAAAAATAAAATCAGAATTTAAATGAAAAAATCTAGATGCTTGGAAAAGGCAAATACAAATGTTCCAAAGTGGTTTAATTCAGTCAGGTTCTTCAGGTATTTTTCAACTCAGCTATGTTTTCAGTCCGTTCGAAGCCATCGCGCGTTTATTTGATCTGTTTAACTTATCCACGGTTTTATTTGTTCAAGGATACTCTTGAATTTAAGAAAAGTACAAGAAAATCTTTACCACTGTACGCGTGGTACCTTTCAACCTTCCCAACATTTCAAATGTGCAAATAAACTGAGAACTGTAGCAGAGTTGACACGTTGATTCTCCGTGAGTCATCATTCATCGAATTACTTATAATATTTATCAATATTACAAATGTATCTCTATAACTCGCAATTCAAAATTGAAAGGTCGAGATCTTCCACAGCAATTGTTCGTTATGTCACCGAGAAGATGACTTTTTTATACCTATATGAAAAGTGATTATCTAAATTCGAGTGACGTGGCTTATGACACTTGACACAAGCCTAATTATGTAGTCAGTTCTTATCTTTTCTTGTCTCGTTTTTTATACTAATTCGGTATTCGTCAATACGGTTACACATAACTAATCACAACTACAGAACTAAAAAGCTATATGTCTAATTAGTTTAATTAGACAGCTTTCATCTTTCCTCATCATATTTTCGATACTAATTTATCATTCGTCAATACGGTTACACAGAACCAAACAAAACTACAGAACTAAACTATAATTCCAAATATAATTTAAGAACGAAAACTTCCTTGACAACATATATCAAGGTCATCAAAATTGAAGCTACCTATAACACAATACACATCAATGAATTAACTCTACACATGGATAACTTCAAAACTAATAAAATCCTAAGCCTGAAACTTAAGAATTATTCCTTACACGCCGAGCACTCGATGGATATAAAAAGAAAACTTGAAAGAAATAGCTGTCCGAAGTTTTAGCCTTTCTCGCATTCCATTACGAATATCTCTCGTAACGAGTCGGTATAAAATTTCGTCCACGTTCCTCAAGAGAAAAATCAGAGAATTACCCGCAACCGGAGGGGCAAAAGGGTTGCTGGTCCACGTTGACGAGGGAGGGTGAAAAATGCGCGACCAGAAAAGAATTCCAGAAGCGGCTGAAGTTTTTGCGCGGTCCCGTACGAGAATTTCGAAGGGTTGAGCGTTTTACCTGGCCGGAGCGTTTGAATGGCTTCCGAAAGTCTGATGATGTCTCTCGCGTCGCACCGAAGAATCTCAGGGATCTCCGTGTACCGTCCGAAAAAGCAGGAAGCCACGCTCCTCACGAATTCCACTTCTCGTTCGGCCCGTTGTTCGCCGCCATCCGGTGGAACATCGTCCGGCAACGACTTCCGGAATCGAATTACCTTGCGCTCCTGAAACGCGAAGGAACAAAGGCGTGAGCGAAGGGAAGAGAAAAAGCCGATTATATAATACGATAAGAATATTTACGAGCCGGCCCCGCGGATTTCGCGGGAACGCGTGGAATACGGTGAAATATAAAGCGTAATTAAATTCAATATTGTTTTTACCCCGATAGCGATGCATTGAAATCGCGGAGGGAACGAACTTCTTTTATTCCTTGGCCGCCATAAATCATTGAGGTATGTAGCTTAGTTTGCGCCCTCGCGCATGTTACGTTCGTCTGTGCATTGTGATGTTATTTATGATGGAAAAGGGGAATTCATAAGGATATATAGATTAATACGTAGAATTTTATGTTGAGTGATGTAGTAATTAGAAATTGGAAACTGGAAATTAAGATGTTTGAAAATATTTGAGTACATTGGCTGAATCGGTCAACTCCGTTTTCTACATTTTTTAAGATTTCGTAGTTAAAGCGCTTGATTGGCCCGTAACTTTTTATACCTCTTCATTAGATTTAGTATCACAAAATAAGAAAAATACTTTTAGCCATGCAAACATTGTGATAATAATAAAGATTACTTCAAGGATATACCGTTTTATGCATTTTACATATTCATTAGATTAAAGCTATATCTATAATAATGAAGTAAACTACATTCTATAACGTTTGCCTGATTTTTCATTAGAAAAAGAGATTCTACACTCAATGTACACCAGTGCATCACTTTTCTCTACTTTATTTTATGAGGTTAACCAGTTGGTTAAACAATTTGAGCAATTCAAATGTGAAACACCATAAATGGAAGAGAAATTTCCAAGTTATGGTACGTCTTGTACAAAGGAATATTTCTTTTCCATAGTGTTTCACAGAAGATGAAAAAATCCATTAACATTAGAACTATCCATCAGTAAAATTGATTGTTCTGCATTTTCTTATAAAACTTATAATAGATTTATTCAGTTTCCAATTTCCTTATATTCTAGTTTGTATTTATCTAAATCAATTTCTTGAATAATTTCTGAAAAAACCGTCTGTGCCTTCCCTATGGGTCATTTTCACCCATTTGGTGGTTCTAGTGTTAAACAATGCTTCAATCATGATTTAGATTACCTTGAACACACAAAACATTGATCCGTTACTGAAACAACATTAGAATTTCCGTTTACGTTACAAATACCGAACGCGATGTTTCATAATGCATCATACGCACGCGATAAGGAGAGAATATTTTTCAATTGCATAAATCGATATCACAAAAAACTGGAGCCGTTTGAGTGGAGTCGCTGCTCGATAACTGTGCTCGCGATATCGCGAAGAATCGCTTGAAGGATCATTGAGCATGTTGACACGTTCACGGTGCAACAACTGGGCGACACACGTTTTGCATACTCACGCGACATAGTTGATTAGCTACCGTTGGGAACAAATCAATGGTTCAATCGAGTCGCGCGCCGCGGCATTCGAGAAAATATGCAGGTCAATAGTGCAAAAAATGTTCAAAACAGAGAAACAGCATACAGCTGCAGGATACCGCGTGCGCCCCGTCGGTTCACCTTGTTATTTTCTGGTTTCTATTTCGAGCAACGCGGGTAATTGCCGCAAACACTTAACCCTTTGCACTCGAAAGTTTCTGCGAGAAGCAGCCAACATTTCCTGATAAGATACAGATGATATTGTGTGAGACCGATCGGTTAGAAAATATAAATATAAATTTATACTGTCGAATGTGCGAAATGTAAAATATACAATATTAAATTATTCAATTGCATTGCGTTGTCATTATCGCGGTTTTGTCTTGCCGAATGCCACCGTATGAGACAGCGTTATTTACAATGAGGAATGTTTTCAAGTAATCATCGTTTAATTGGGACACTTACATTCAACATGTTAAGAAAGACAGCTATTTTATTTGAATATTTTATATATTGATGTATTATACAAAGATTAATAGTATACGTAAGATTTTATAACCTTTTTATATGAAATCAAACGGTGACCTCTCGAGTATAAAGGGTCAACTGTATTGTTTGCATTCATTGTGAACGGTTGTGTCCGTGTCAAGTATGGTTATTATATAGTTTTTATTGGTAAAAATTACGTTTTATACGATATACCTAATTAAAGTTAGTTATTAATACTTTATTATTTTCCCGAATAGACTGGTAGATAGCATTTTTTGGAACTAATTGATCGAGAAATGGCACTAATAAATTAAGGAAAGGTGCTATTTTATTTCAATGTTTTAAAATTAATAATAAATGAAAGGACAAAGCTTTTTTCGAGTGCGAACATTTAGCGCACAGTTTTGTTCAAACATATTCTTGGCTCTCCGCATCCACCGGCCATTATTGATGCAACACACGGAACAATTACACGGCCATCCGTTGAAATAACTTTTCGTTTACCATTGGAGTTGACGCTTTGAAAGCTTTAATATGTCATAAAAGTTCAAATTACCATGAATTTTAAAAACTATTGAATAATTAAAACGGTAATACGATTTTATTGCACATTACAAAGTCGGTTGCTGTGTGAAACGTTTGTTCAGTTGGTTATAATTGAGCCATTTACTTCCCAAAGTGGCTGACTTCGCAAAATTAAACGTAGAAAACTTTCATAAAATTCAATACATTAAACATAAATCAAATGTTTTAACACAAAGATTGAAGAACATTCAAAAACTGTAGTTAATCATTTCGACTCACTAACAACTCGCTTGATCAATTCAATTATATACATAGAAATATAAAATATGAACTACATTAAATTAATTACGAACTATATTAACCATTTATGTACTACAAATAATTACTGCTGTAGCGTACAATGAAAGTTCGAATGAATTTTGTCTGCGAAGTTTCACAATCTCCCTCGGTTATACAGTTACGTTGAAAACGGGAAAATGTGTGTTAAAACTGGAAGGGTTGATTTCACCACTTCACAGCGAATTTCCGGGGGAAAAAAAAGTTGCTTCTGGTCCAGCGCAATAGGCTTCGCGATGAAAAAGTTTGATTGAAACTGGAATTTTGGGTTTCACGTGGTTTTCCCTTGTTAAATGGCCCCGTTCGTACGATGATTCCGGTTGATATTATACATAATTATCGAGTTAACCACGTTCGTGTTATCGGGGGCCCTGCCACAGTCGGTAATGAACCGGGGCGAGTGCTAAATGAAGTTAATCTCGTTACGAAAACAGACGGAACGCAGGAAACGAAAAATTTCGAGGCTGACGGTCTCGACAGATCGAAATTAGGTCGGCGCGCGACGTTTCATACCGTGGCGAACCGCAATTTCCACTGCGCAGCAGTCTTCAATTACTATCAGTGAATTGCTTAAATGACGTGGCGTTAATTGCCTATACGTAAATCGTGGTTCCTAGAGAAACCGGCCGTGCCACTAACGAGTTCGTGTTTTCTTGTGTTTAAAGGAGCGGCGGACACGGTCACTCGATCACCGATAATTCGGCTATCGAAGTGTGCGAGAAACATTTGCTTCACCCTTTTTCCGCGGACTGTAAAGTCGCAGTAGAAGGTAAGAAAGTTTCGATGAAATATGTTTTTAATCAATAAAATTTGATGTCCAATCAATTGGTTCTCAAATTTTATGTTTCTCAAATTCAACGAACGTCTCGTTAACGGGAACCCTGTGTAATATGTAAATTAACTGTTGAAGATTATTTAGTTGGAAATCCGAAAGTTCGTGTCATTATGTAGACGGTGATTATAAATATTTTTGCTGCTTGTTTTAGGCAATGTGATTATAGAGTGGAGGTTGAATCTAGGTTTATAGAAAATTGTTCTTAAACGTTTATTATAGGTACCGTTAATTATGACGAGCACCTACGCAATATTATCTGAACAGAATGCTTGGTAATTAATGCACTATTAGCGTGACAAACCATTAAAGATCGTAATAAATTGTTTTTTAAATGTTTTAGTATACAAGATTTAAATTGAACACATTCTGTTTATTTTAGATTATTTTGATAGAATCATATAAAAGTGTATATACGAAGCTTAATTCATTAAAGACCTAATTATTAGTTTGTTATTAAATATATACTACGAATAATTAAAAGTTGCAGCAAGAAACTAATTAATTTTGCAAAAATATTTATTACAAATCCCTGAATGAGAATCACTGATCATTACGGTTATCTATATAGATACCTTACCACTGAAATGTTTAAACTCTCAAAATAAGGTTTGCAATAAAAAGTATTAATGGTTAATTAGCCTTTACCCAAATTCTAAATTTAAATTAAAACCAGTCAAAGAATGTAAATATTCATGGTAGCGAATCAGTAATCGTTACATTTAAATCAAAGTTACCATTTCTATTTTATATTTACCATGAATTTAAAAAAAGATTAAAACTCTCGAGTTTCACAGTTATCGATATCGAACAGTTTACACTTGCAGGCAAACAAATTACCACTTTGTTATGAACGTAATGAATCAAGCATCGATACGCTTTCTATGTAATTACGATCCAGCTAGGTACCATAAATAACGATTGCATCCTTCTGAACAAAAAAGACCTATCTACTAAACGAACAGCGATCACCAAAAGTTAATATTATTGAAAACCCCGTCGCTCTCAATAAACTATTTCTAACCACAGAGTTTCGCTGAAAACTGACGCGTTTAATGACATTTTTAAGCGGACGTATTGCCGATATCGTTTAAACCGGTGCGAAAGCTTCGCTTTTCAGTAGCATTGGTAACGATTCGCCGGTCCCCGTAGCAATTGTAATTGTCATCAATAAAATCGTGTCTCTATTTCCGTTAACCCTTTGCACTCCAAGAGTTTTCTACCAAAAGTACCCAACACTTTCCGATGAAATATAGTTAACATTTCTTGAAACTGGCTTCACGAGAAATCGTACATAAATTGAAGAAAGAGGCTGTTTTATTTTAATATTTCGCATATCAATGCATCACACGAAACGTAACATTAAATATTATACTGCATAATTTTTCTGTGCCAAATCGAATGGCGACTGAG